TATATGAAGGGATTCTGAGTGCTAAGATATTCTGATAACATGAGAGTAGCTTAACCAGAGGAAATGATCCTGCATTAACATGCTTACTACCCTTTTATCAGATTTCTTGATACAGAATTTTTCTTTTAAAGTGGCTAACATTAATTAACATTCTGTCAGATTGTCTGGATACATGTAATCCCTTAAAAGCTAAGTCACAGAAGACACTCAAAAATTAACTGTGATGAACATGGCCAGAGCTTTGTTCATTCTCATTATCTAATTGTTTTCTAATTATCAATATGCTTCATTTGCTTTAAGTGTCCTGTAACAAGTTGTGATGCTTTCTATCTGCCTGAAAGTTACTTTGTTCCTTGATGTTCCCATTTGAAGCTGTGCTGACATTTGGTCATCTATGCTATTTATGTTTTTGTACGGGGAATTTACTTTGAAATTTGATAGGGTGATTGTCCTCAGTTTAAAATTTACTGGTCCTGTTTTCCTGTCCTTTGTACTAATGAAAATTTAGTAATACTAATAAGACCAATAAGACCTTGGAGACTGTGATGTATCATAGTTTAGTTTTCCAGAGAGAGAGAGAGAGAGAGAGAGAGAGAGAGAGAGAGAGAGAGAGAGAGAGAGATCCTTCTTTTCCAGACTGTGAGCTGTTTAAACACAAGGACTGCTTTATGCATTTTGTAGCCTATAATAGTGGACTGTTTAATATGATAGAGACAATATTACACACAATGTATTATGTGCATATAATCCATATGTACTTTAATTTCATTAGTAACTATTAAAATGACATGATAAGACAGATAAAATATGCAGGATGTGAGGGATAGGTAAGAAGAAAATGAGAGGAAACATAAAGAGAAGGAAAGAGATTGACAGTGTTGACAAGCATTTATGTTGATGTCTGAGATAGAGATTGGCAGTACACATTGAAAAAAATTAGAACAGACAAGCAGTAAAAGAGAATACGCTTGTTCGCTTTAATATTGAGAATTGCCATGTTGATCATACACACACACACACACACACACACACACACACACACACACACACGTTTCAGTTTATGCTGCTATTAGCCCTAATGTTAAAGAGGTATACTTTCCAATCTCTTAGGAAGTACATAAAAATGAAACAAAAAAAGGTACTACTGTGAGCAGTTGAATATCAAAGGAAGGCTAGCCTGTTTGTTCTGAAAACTCTGTCCTGTGTGCATTCATTCATTTTTGTAACTTCTGAATCTTTCATTGACAAATATAAGATAGTACCAATTTGGACTAAATGCCTGAATTAGAAAATATTTTTAAAGAACACAATTACCATTTTACTTGCACTTTAAATCTTACACTCATTCTTTTAATGCCGTGCCCTTAAACTTGTTGACAGTTTGATTGAACTAAGCAGAATACACATGTTCATACAGATCATTTTTTTCTGGTAGTGGATTAGGTTGCAGTTTTTTTTTTTACTAGATGAAATTTTTTTTGTGTTTTCATAATTCTGAACTATCTTGCCAGCTCCACACAATATTTTTTAAAATTAAAAGGAAGAGGGGGGGAGAAATGTGCATATGCATGAAGATGTGAAGGGGTGGACACTGGGTGATTTGCTCCATCACTCTCTGCCCTATTACCTTGTGTCAGGATCTCTCACTGAATCTGGAGCTAGACTGATGGCCAGCAGCCGTAGGGATCTTGTGTCTCCAGTAGTACTAAGGTTACAGGTGTGCACAGCTACTATTCATGGCTTTGTTTATATGAGTACTGAAAACTCACTCCTCTTACTCCCCTCCCCTTCCCCGGACAGGTTTTATCTGTGTAGCCCTGGCTGTTCTGTACTTGCACTCTAGACCAGGCTGGCCTCGAACTCTGAAATCCATCTGACTCTGCCTCCTGAGATGCCTCCTCAGATGGATATTGGCCATTACCTGGCTCAGGTTCTCTTTTTTAAACATCAAGTGTTCTTATTTACTGAGCTCTTTTCCCCAGCCCCCTAAAAATTAAGATTTTAAAATTTTTTCAACAATGGGACCAGGATTTATCCTGGGTGCATGAACTGGTGTTTTGGAACTCATTCTCTCAGATGGCATACCTTGCTCACTCTTGATACAGCGGGGAGGGCCTTGATCCTGCCTCAACTTTGTATGCCAGACTTTGTTGACTCCACAAGAGAGGCCTTTCCTCCTCTGAGGAATGGATAGAAGGGTGGAATAGGGAGGATGTGAGGGGGGTGACAGGAGAAGGGGAGGGAGGGGGAATTGGGGTTGATATGTAAAATGAAACAAAAATATATTTTTTTTGCTAAAAGGTGATAAGCACATACCTATAAAAGTCATAATTATTCAGGCTGAGATAGGGAAACCACTTGAGCTTAGGAAAAGAAAGACTTTGTTAATCTTTGATTGATTGATATATCAACTGGATTTTGTGTGCTAGGGCTTATGTATAAAAATTTTAAGTGATTATGTGTGGCTTAAATTTGTTAATATTGAAGCAGCTTTGATTCATCATTTTAAGTCTATTTTCTTATTACAGCAAAGACTAACCTTTCTAGGTTTATGCAACATAAAGTGAGCATAAAGTAGGAAGTGATCTTAAAGAATACATTTTATTTATTGAGCTGTACTACTCACTGTTTACTTTGAAATATATAGGTAAATATAGACGTTGAAAATATTTTAATTGCTTTGAGTTTTAACTGGAATTCTTAATTTTCATATATTTATTTTATTCATCTGTTATGGAATAATATGACTGAAAATGACTTTTTCTAGAGTCATACCACTTTATAGCCTCAGCAGATCTCAGTGAGTATATAGGCTGTAATGCCTTGTTTTCACACTGCCTAAGAATGGCAGTGAGAAGGGGGTGACAGAAAGAATACTGAGGTATATTGGATCATGGTATGTTAGTTAGTACTTGTACAGTGTTTGTTTTTAAAATAAAAGTAAACTCCAAGGAATGACTCATCAAGAGCATCCTATTTTGTACATCTCTTTGGGTATGGCAGATTGGACTATGACTGTGGTCACCGGCGTACGTTCTTACAGCCATTATCATGTTGAAAATATCATTTTAACTTTTGATTGTCTGACACATGTATCACCAATTCTATTATAGCCAAAAACGAAACCCATTCAGTTTGAAGTTACTGAACAGTAGAAGTCATATGTGCCATCTATAAGCAGTTGTAATGATTCAACCCTTGGAATATAGCCTTCTGGTTGGATTAATACCTCATTCCACAGAGATAGTGAAGTCTGTTTCTGCTTCTTTAATGTCTTCTTGAATGCTAAGGTGCACTCGGGAGAATGATAAATTGTTCAGTGATACAGCCCCAAGAAATGCTGAATGGTCTCAGTCAGGCAGGCACGTTCTGTCTTTGTTGGTTTCTCTTCAGTTTTCATCATCTTTGCTGTCATAATTTTAAGTTATCAGAAGGCTTATTATCACCTGAAGTTTTAAAAAATTAACTAGAAACACTCCAGATTTGGAGGCAGTGCTGTGTTGTGTGTGGGAACCTGAGAATCAGAATAGTTGTAACCCTCTGAGACTTTTGGAAAGTTTCTTCTGTTCTATCCTTGCCTTTACGAAAATATATTAGAAGGTAAGAGAAATATAATAGCTGCCATGAAATATTCTTAGCATTATTATTTTATGGTATTTATAATTTCCTTTTCAGACTTATAGATTTAATGAGCTATTTTGTTATTTTCCTTTTTTATATGGTCCAGATTCCATAAGAGTCGATCTTATCATACTAATTTTGTTCTGTATTTGTTCTACATTTAAGAATGGATATATTTCCAGTTTACTTATTGTGAATAATTTAAAGCATTTTAGGTTCAGCCTGTAATTACCTGCCTTTGTAAGAATGGTAACTAAGGAGGAATAGGTGAAGACAAGCATGTTTCTAATGCATTACAGCTATAGTATGTTTTCTGGGGTTTTTCTTCATTTTTTCCTTTTAATTGTAGTGGGAAGACCCACTTTTATTTTATTTTATTTTATTTTATTTTATTTTATTTTATTTTATTTTGGAGACAGGATCTTTCTACATAGTTCATGGAACTTGGTGTTTGTATTTTAATAAATAAAACTTGCCTGAGGATCAGAAAAGTAAAACAGCCATATTGGCCAGCCTTAGAGACCAGGCAGCAATGACACACACCTTTAAATCCTATTAGCCACACTAGTTTGCCATAGAAACCAGGTGGTAGTGGTGCCCTCTGATAACTTAAAATTATGACACCCTTAATTACAACTAGAGAAGCTTATAAGATGGAAGAGGCAGCTCTTAGTCTCAGTCTGATTCTGAGGTATCCTGGAGGCAAGGATCACTATTTTCAGACTGAGGTGGAGGTAAAAGCCAGTGACTGGCTGCTTTGCTTTTCTGTCTTTAAGGTGAACCCAATGTCTGTCTCTGAGGTTTTTATGAATTGTGCTTTATTTGGGCGCCCAACATGGGGCTCAAACCCACAACCCTGAGATTCCAGTCTTATGCTCTACTGATTGAGCTAGAACTGTCCTTCTGGATGCAATGGAAGCATGTCCAAAGATCTTTCCCTTTGCATGATTTGAGGTCTTAGATGATCTCAGTGATGGTCTGTAGAATATTTATAGCCTTTCTTTTCACTGGAAGCATTGAGAACTTTGAAGACAGTGGGCTAATGTTTGTGTTTGTTTTCAAAAACTTGTTTTCCTTTAAGAGCATAAGGAATTTTTTTAAGTAAATTTTGTTTATTGACTCACTTTTGTGAGTGGAGGGTGTTGGGTTGCTGAGGTTAGCACATGAAAGTCAGAGAATAACTTGCAGTAGTCAATTTTTGTTTTCTGTAATGCGGATTCCAGGGATTGAACTTGGTCCATTAGGCTTGGAGGCAAGTGCTATTAAGTACTGTGAATGACAAATAAGGAGCTCAGTTTGGAGACCCTGTGTAAACTTGTGCATTAATAAAGTAAGTGCTATTGTTCTCCCTTTAACATTGTTGTTCTTTCTCCCCTTAGGGTTTCACAGACAGCCCTCATTACAGCGATCACTTGAATGACAGTCGATTAGGAGCCCATGAAGGCTTGTCTCCAACACCTTTTATGAATTCAAATCTGATAGGTAAGTTGGTGACTCTATGTAAGTGTCTGTGCTCAGAGACCCTTTCTGTTACCATGTCCTACTTAAATATATAAAGTAAAGCTCCCTTGTTGCTAGAGGAATCGAGGTTCTCCTTGCTTACTTCAACTCAAGGAACTAGCATCTGGAATTTGGGGTCTTTCTTTTAGAGCAGTACTAAGAGTGGATAAAGGGAAGTAGCTGCGTTCTCTTAGTTTAAGACATGTCTCTGTGATGTTTTTCTGCCGGTTTTCTGGGCTAGAAAAGCATTCTTTCAAGGACACTTGTGGTTTACTACTGTTTGTTGTATTATAAATATTTATGTATTAGTTAAAAATACGACAGAATAATGACTTTCACAAATTTAACTTACATTGGATCTTTTTTCTTTGGGTACTATTTGATAAGAAATATTTCATTTATACACCATATAGGGTCTGTTTAAGCATGTAGATTCTTACTGAGATATGTAAAAGTTTGTCTGCAAGTGAAGTGAAATTTAAAGGGTGTGATTTCTTACCTACACCTGATCTTTATGTTTTATCACCACTTTTCTTGTTGATCATCCTTTCTGTTTCTTCCTGTCACATGCAGAGCACTTTCTTAAGTGATAATTTGAATTTGTTCGGTTTGTTTTATGCCGGTCAAACCTCTTGGTTTGGTTATCACTCCTTTTTAAAAGGCAGTATTTAACCTTCTTACAAAATCTGTTTGAAAAAAAAAATCTATGCCTTGTAACAGCATTTTTTTTTTTTTGGTCTTGTTTATGTTGTAGCTGAACACATTCTGAAGGCTTTATGTAATCTCTTGTATTAACTGTCATTGACATCAGATAAATACACATGGTTTGTGTGATGGACATTGATTTCACCATTCTACCTCTAAAGGGTTGGTTACACTGTGATCTTAGAATTGACCTTTTGCGTCACAATCATGTAAATCTAAGTAGGTTACTCTATCCAAAGTGCTGGTGGTCTGTAGATGCTTTGTAAGGGATCTTGCTGTGTGCAGTCTTTGTTTTCTCTTCTTCTCTAGTTTTGAGGAGTGAGTGTCTGATATTCTAGTGTGGATTTTGCCTATGGCAACTGACAGTCTAAAGCCAGAATCATTGAGTGTGACACAAGACCTGTATAAGCAGTAAAACGTGTGCTGGAAACCACTGGCTTTCAACATAAGTGCAAATAAAAGTTATGCTGGTAAGTGGGTTACTCCAGGTAAAACCCATAATTACATTTAAAATAAAACAATAGTTTCATCAAGAAAGTTTCTACATTTTTGTTTTAATTTTCTGTTGAATCTTCCATCAAGGTAAAATGTTACTCAGTTTAAAAATTGCTTTTTTATTTTAATTTTTCCCTCAAGCAGCTTTTGTTTATACTGTGTGTAACAGGGCAAGTGAAAATTGATGTTAACTGAGGCTGTCATTTTGTTTTTATTATTATTATTATTACAAATTTTCCCCTCCTCCCATTTCCCTCCTCCTCCCCCCATCCCCCATCCCCCTCCCTCTCCAGTCCAAAGAGCAGTCAGGGTTCCCTGCCCTGTGGGAAGTCCAGTGTCCTCCCCCCTCCATCCAGGTCTAGGAAGGTGAGCATCCAAATAGGCTAGGTTCAAAACCCCGTGCCATTGTCCTTGACTTCTCAGTCGGCCCTCCATGTCAGCCATGTTTAGAGAGTCCAGTTTGATCGCCTGCTCCATCAGTCCCAGTCCAGCTGGCCTTGGTGAGTTCCCATTAGATCGGCCCCACCGTCACAGTGGATGGACGCACCCTCCGCGGTCCTGACTTCCTTGCTTATGTTCTCTCTCCTTCTGCTCCTCATTTGGACCTTGGGAGCTCAGTCTAGTGCTCCAGTGTGGGTCTCTGTCTCTATCTTCATCCATCACCAGATGAAGAAGGTTCTATGGTGATATGCAAGATATTCATTAGAGTGACTATAGTATAGGGCCAGTTCAGATGCCCTCTCCTCAGCTGCTCAAGGAACAAGCTGGGGACATCTCCTTGGACACCTGGGAACCCCTCCAGAGTCAAGTCTTTTGCCAACCCTCAAATGGCTCCCTTAATTAAGTTATATACTTTCCTGCCCCCATATCCACTCCTCCTCCATCCCAACTGTCCCATTCCCCCAAGCTCTCCCCATCCTCTCCTTCTCACTTCTCTCTCCCCATCTCCCCTTTCCCCTGTCCCACCCCTACCCCCAATCTCTCAATTTTTGCCTGGAAATCTTGTCTACTTCCAATATCCAGGAGGATAACTACATGTGTTTTTTGAGGGGGTTCATCTTCCTGTTTAGCTTCTCTGGGATCATGAATTATAGGCTCAATGTCCTTTATTTATGGCTAGAATCCACTAATGAGTGAGTACATACCATATTCATCTTTTTGGGTCTGGGTAACCTCACTCAGGATAGTGTTCTTTATTTCCATCCATTTGCATGCAAAATTTAAGATGTCATTGTTTTTTACCGCTGAGTAGTACTCTAATGCGTATATATTCTACACTTTCTTTATCCATTCTTCTATTGAGGGGCATCTAGGTTGTTTCCAGGTTCTGGCAATTACAAATAATGCTGCTATGAACATAGTTGAACAAATGTTTTTGTAGTATGATAGGGCATCTCTTGGGTATATTAATTCGTGGTCCCTCTAGAATGTATTCTTACCTTCAGACTTGCCTATAGAGATGGTGCACACCTCATGGAATTACATCCAAAATTAGCACAGTTTTCGGCCAAGGTAACTGTTAAAATTGTGAGAGACAAATGAAGTCTCTAGTAGATATATGTTTCAGTCACTTCTGAGCAGCTGTTAACTAAAAAATATTCCCATAATTCAGTTTGAGCTTATATTTCCTCATTTGTGGCCTTTACGAACATACACTTATTGTTTTTTTTTCCCCCAAAATTGGAGAATTATTGAAATGCCTTTAAAGGTTATCCCTGTTTGGTAAAATCTATATCTAAAGGAAGTCTGTAAGTAAGACTTGTAAACAGACTGATCTTTTTCACTATTCAAAGGGGAAAAGAATTTATTGAACTACCTAGTATAATAGTGAGTCCAGTGCAGTAGTTCAGATCATGTTATTCACTGTATCTTAAGTGCCTAATTTTAAAGTATTCTTTTTATATTTAAAGGAGAAGGGGAGAAATAATTCTTCAGTCATTAATTAGGTAAATATAGTCAAAGGATTTGCCAGCCATTGGCATTGTCTGATTTACCCCTCTTTACCATTTTCCCCCGCAGTAAAATAATTAGATGAGTACCTCAGTATGGCACCTTAAAAAAGTGATGTACATAGTAGTACTTGTTTGGATATGAACGTTTCTTAAATTAGTCATTTTCATAGAGCAGCAGGAAATTCAGCAAGCTGTGATATGCAGTAAATGAACCGTCAAGACACCCAGATATAGTGAGTGATCGTACTAGATGAATTACAAGGCAGTCTCTTTTGCACATGTGTAAGAGTGTAGGAGAATTTGAGGTTTTTGCCTAACAAGCGTTGGTAATGATTTGATAATGAATAATTTACCACAGAAAACAGATTTCTATATTCATTTAGGTATTTTGAAGTATTTTATGTAGGAAGTAAAGCTATGTCAGTGTATCTTTTTATGAATTTCAGAATTATTCTCTTGATTCGTCAGTATGCAGTAGTGGAATACTTTTCTTATGTTTCAAGATAAATAACTATATTCTTTTGGTACATAAGCAATTAGTAGCAAACAGTTCTGCTAAAGCTGTGGACAGAGTCTTGACCATAGCCTTGAGTTGCAGTGATATCATCATATGGTTTTGTCTATTGTAGTATTCAAAGCTTTGGCTTATCATTTCACTCTTAATTCCCTCAATAATTTTCATACAGTTTGTTTTCTGGGGCTAGAAGGAGAACTCAGCAGTAAATTGCAGAGCACCTGAGTTTGGTTCCTGTCATCCTTATAGCAGCTCCAGGGGAGCTAACAAACAGCCTTCTCTGGCCTCTGGTCCACATATATGTAGCCAAAACATTCACTCACATAAAGAACTCTTTAAAAACCCAATCTTGAAAAACAAACAAACAAACAAACAAACAAAAAAAAAACAGAAAAAAGCAGTTGTTTTATTGGTTGGTAATATTTTGGTAATATTTTGGGTGAAGAGAGCACCAATGAATTGAACTGAGAAGTGGATTATTCCTCAGGTGATGTGGAATGAATATCTGCAGCCCTTTCTTTTTTCCTTTTTTTTTTGGTTTTTTGAGACAGGGTTTCTCTGTAGCTTTTGGTGCCTGTCCTGGAACTAGCTCTATAGACCAGGCTGGCCTTGAACTCACAGAGATCCGCCTGCCTCTGCCTCCCGGGTGCTGGGATTAAAGGTGTGCACCACCACCGCCCAGCCTGCAGCCCTTTTCCTCCGTGCTCACTTTGCTCATTTAAGAGGACATGTGCAAGTGCATCATAAACAGAAGACAAAGCTTCAGGTGATTTTGAATTTTTCTTTTTTCTAAGACACTTATTTCTCTTCCTCTAGAATTGCTTTGTTAGTATTCTGTGGAAGAGTGACATTAACATTTGGTAGAATAGGGCACTGGAGAGTTGAAAACTAGGACCTGTAAGCAGCCTTTATGTTTTAGTTAGGGTTTGCTTGGGTTCTTGGATGTATTCAGTAGCTCTTGGGTTTTAAGATTCCATAATATTGTCCTGGAAAAGACTGAAATTAGAATTATAATTTCTATCTTGCAAATGCTAAAACAGAGTTAGAGGGAAATTACATGTGTATTTGAAGCCACAAAGCCAGTAAATGGCAAAACTGAAATAAGGCAGTCTCCCAGTTAACTTAAGCTGCCCATTTATAGAGGTGCTTGTTTTTTCGTTACAGTGCTTCTAGGATTTGACTAGGCCAGCAGTTCCTAGCCATAATCATCTGCATTTTGAACTTGACAAGTAATCATGAACAAAGGTTCCATAGTCAAATAACCTCAGACAGTATTTTCTGTCAGTTCTTTTTTTTTTTTTTTTTTAAGAGGCTCA